GGAGTCAGTTTCAACTAATAAGGACTTTAGAGGAACTGTGATTCATAGCATTTTCATGACTGATCTTTCAGAGGTTGATTGCCAACTCTTTCTTCCAAGGCACTTGCTTTTGTGTGGATTCAAATAGTCAACCTATCAGTTAGCAGCCGAGAACTTAACTGCACCACCACCCAGGGACTCCGTAGATAGATGCACGTGATCATTTGATTGGCTGAATCGTTTAAGAGTAAGTAGAAGCCATTGAATTTGAACGTTCTGTGAACAGACATGCTACTGTGTACATGTTCCTGTGTGTCTTTTTCACCATCATAAAATGTGTGAGATTGACATGTACTTTATTTATTTCACGTTACGGGATTCCAACCATTTATTTTTTTCTTTCCAATCTTGAGAGATATTCGGGATTTTCTTTGCAATGTTGAGAGATATTTGAGACATCAGAGTTCGGTTATAAGTGGTACTGCCATGAGCACTTATCTACGTGTCTCCTGGCAACCTTGTGTGTGTGCTCCTGTTAGAGATAGCTCTAGGACTCGTAGAGGCAATCAGGTAGATGCTTCATTACCCAAGGCCAAACTTTTGCCCGAGGCCTCTTCCCTGAAACACGTTTCAGCAGCTCCACAGTCTTGCTAACATTCAGTATCAGACTTAAATTTCCCCTACATTGAGATTTGTGTAATAGTATCTTTTTGTGTTACTAATTTTTATTTCTTGAATTCTTAGGAGCTTCAGATTTTCCATATTTATTGCATAGTGTGTGTGTGTATGTTTTGAAGTAATGGGTATGATTAAGGAATTTTAAATATAGACTGGACAGCAGAAGAAACTGAGGGATTATGTTTGTTAAAGATGATGTTATTTCAGAAATACACACTGAACCCTTCAGAGAAATCATGTCCATTTACTTCTACACATTACAGCATTAAAAAAGCATAGACCAAGTTAATATTTCAGTGGCATTAAGAAAAAGGGCCTAGGACTAAGTCCACAAAAATAACTCCAGACCTCAGTGACAAAATATAAAACCTTATTAAGATGTTAAAGACAATGAACCCACAGTCAACTGCAAGAGCAGGATCAGTACAGATACTTCGAGGTCTTGCCGTTCTAAGCCTGCAGTCTTTATAGAACGTACTGTTTTCCCTCCCCCACCCTGGCCTTTTTGTACATAATTCATTTTCTAAACTATGCAACTTTGGATTTGAAAGTGCCAATTAAATGATAATCAGACCTCACTTCTAAGGTCTCCCCAGGTGAATGTGTTGTGATACCTCAGATGACTAGCAGAGAAGTGAACAAAGAGCGTCGCCTCGTGCCATATACTCAGAGCCACATGTAGTTCTTCAGAGCGAGGCAAGGATTTTTTGTTTTGTTCAGCAAATTTAAGTTCATTTTTCTATATAGGTAACATCTCTCTAGGAACCTTGCTTTCTAACCTCAAAACTATGTTTACTTGGAACGTACATTTAGAGATGAGGTTGCAGTGTAATGAATCCGTGTAGTGCAGTGGATCGGGTATACCACCCCTGGATATTTGACAGCATGCTGAAACATCACCGTGTTTTACAGGGAGTTCCAAACCTGAGTGATTCTGAAAGCCATCTAGAGCACTTAGAAACCATTTGGATTCCTGGGATCCTCTGACTCATGAGTCTGGTGTGCCTGACCCAGGCAGTGTTTTATTTTGTTGTGCGTAGAGCATGTTATGAGTCAGAACGAACTCAAGGCACCTAATAAAACAATAACATATGACACAGGAGTTTTTAGTCTGTTTTTGTTCTTAACACAGTTACAACAAACACAGCTTCTCTCATAACCCAAAGCCCTTCTCATGCCACGCCCTTCTTTCTGCGCCCTTTGCCAGGCTTTCCCTCCAGGACTGGTCATGTGAGGGCACTGGGCTCGGTGATGCTGGGAAAGATATACCTCCCGGACAACAAAGACAGCTCTTGTCTCCCAGCGCCTCCCATGAGAGCATGATTGTGCGAGGGCCTGACATCTAAACCTTGCAGCCATGACAGGAAAACCAAATGTGCTACAGAAAGTGATCCCCAGCCCCGGCATTTTTAAATGGTGGAGCTAATGAATTCTGGGCCCAGCCACGTATAGAATTATTATGAGATAATTCAATGTCTCATTGCACAAGCTACTGATGATCAGAAATCCTGCGCCTTGAAGGCAAATGCATTCCCAGTCAACAACTCAAACATGGAAAGCACTGTTGTGCAGAGCAGGAGCCCTGGTGGCGGTGGCGTAGTGGTTATGCATCAGGCTGCTAACTGCAAGGTCTGAGCTCAAAACCATGCGGGAGAACTCAGGAGAAAAACAGAAAAACTCTTCACTCCAGCCAAGAGTTACAGGGCTGGGAACCCACAGGGGTTGTTCTACCTCGTCCTATGAAGTCCCTGCGAGTCAGAATTGGCTTGATAACAAAGAGTTTGGTTCTGCAGAATTTTTGTGTTACAGCAAAAAGAAGAGATTTCATGACCAGTAATGTAGACTTCTGAAGCTGTTCACCTAAGTCCTGCAAAGGAAGAATTAAGGAACACATAGTATAGATGTTATGCTAGGTCAAATAAAAGAGTATTGCTACTAGAGCTCTAGTTCATGAATGGGCAGATTTCAAGCAAAGCATGTCCAACACGCCTCTGGGTTCACTAGGTGACAGCAGGCAAGTTTTCTCAGTAATACGTGTCCTTAGTCTCATTAGGGTGCCTTCAAAAGCGGTCCAT